AGAGACACAGGGAAGGATGTTTTAAGCTCATGTGAGCTTCACAGAAGCGCCCAAGCGTTCTCACTTGGAATCCTGTGCTCCCCCTGCCACACCTCCCTGCCTTCTGATTTCTCAGCTCAGCACAGCTTGAGTGAACCCAACATAGCTTCCTCCAAGAACTGGCAGTTAACAAACTTCTGGCCATTATCTGGCTGAATGTCACACACAAATGCAGTAAGAATCTGTACGAAGGACCACTCTCCTAAACCCAATTAGTAGCTCCTACCTCATGAATTTCCTCATCCCAAAAGACAAGGGCCTAGAGGCCCTGGCAAAGTCTTCGGCTGCCTGAGCCCCTTCTTTGGCCTCACCCATGCCCTCGGTCTTCCTGCTGGAGATGCAGGCAGCCCAGGGCCACCTGGAGGCCCAGTTCCCAGCTCACTTGAGGGTGCCCAGCATCCCAAACACCTGCGTGAAACGCTCTCTGTCCAGGATGCGTCCGTAGCGCAGCGTGAGGTAGAAGCTCTGCTTCCCACTGTACTGCTGGAGGCGCACGAACAGCTCCTGGGGCCGGTCCGCGCTCTCCGTCATGGGCATCACATCTGCCACGGGCCAGTCCGTGTCCTGCCGCCGGCCCCAGAAGGTCAGGTGGGCTACCCGCAGCACGGTGCCTGCCTCATTCACATACAGGATACCCACCAGCCTCCGGAAGAAGTGGCTCATCCAACAGAGCATGGCCAGGGCGAAGCCAGCTATCCCGCCCGCAAAGCACAAGGAGCCGAGAGTCACGAGGCCGTGCGAGTACCAGTAGAAGCCAGGGGGCAGGGCCAGCAGCGTCAGGGCCGTCTGCGCCACCTTCAGCTGGGACAAGTACCCAAAGGCTCGGATTGCATCGAACCGGTAGACCATCTGGAATTTCTCTGTCTCCGTGCCTGCAGGCTTCTCCTTCAGGGTGGGGGTCCTGCTCCCCACCTGCCTCCCAGGATCTTGCCCGGGGCGGCACCACAGCCCGCAGACAGGCCTTCTCCATGCAGCTGGGCCTGCCAACCGTAGCCTGGCTCGGAGGAGGGCGGCCTGGAAGGGAGACAGGACACCGTTGCTCTCGAGAGCCCAACCACGCGAATCACAAAATAAACACCTGCAGAGCATCTTACCTGGAGGCCCCTGCCGATCCTGTGAGGTTGCTGTTATTACCAGAGACACAGGGAAGGATGTTTTAAGCTCACGTGAGCTTCACACAAGTGGTGCAAGAGGGGTGCCATTACGTTGACCCTTGAACGACGCAGGGGTTCGGAACACCAACCCTCCAGCAGTCAAAACTCCACATACAACTTCTGACTCCTCGAAAACTCAACTACCAATAGCACAGCGTTGGCCAGAAGCCTTACCGATAAATCCGTTAACACGTATTTGTTGTTACATGTATTATATACAGCACTTTTACAATAAAGTCAGCTAGAGAAAAGAATGTGATTAAGAAAACCGTAAGAGAAAATACACTGACGGTACTGTATTCGCGATACCATTAAGTTTATCTTGTTTCCAAGATGAATTGTCAGTACCCACATCAACACAGTCTGATAAGACATAAAACAGTATAGATAGTACAAATATTACTGACACTAGACACAAAAAGGAGGGTAATAAGAAAGGGAGATTCGTTGTTGATTTATAAGGACAATGATTCATGGATTGGTAACAAAGCAGCAGTAATAGGGTTGCTTTATGGCAGCCTAGTGTAATCGATACTATTGTTTCCCAGGAGCCTGGTCTATATGCGAATGAATGAATCCTTATAAACTTCTGATGGCATACAGTATATTACAGTCAGGTTCAGAATACAGTATCGGAAACAGTTACTTTTTTTAAAAAACCACTTAGCCATGGGCGCCTGGGTGGCTCAGTTGGTTAAGCGACTGCCTTCGGCTCAGGTCATGATCCTGGAGTCCCAGGATCGAGTCCCACATCGGGCTCCCTGCTCAGCGGGGGTCTGCTTCTCCCTCTGACCCTCTTCCCTCTCGTGCTCTCTGTCTCTCATTCTCTCTCTCAAATAAATAAATAAAATCTTTAAAAAAAAAACAAAAACAAAAAAACCACTTAGCCATGATAGGCTAATAGGCATTTTCTCCAATTCCGGGGGGCGGAGGGAAGGGATGGAGGGAGGGGGAGGTAAGGGACACCCTGCAGGGTAATTAAATCTTTGAAAGCAAAAAGCAAAGTTACAAAACAGTAAGAAGACACACTGTTAATTTTATATTAAACATCACTCACCTTACAGCCTCTAAGGATAGGCTACCCACTTCCAAAGGAGATTTTCACATGAAGACACTCACATGCGCAACAGGGAAGTTTAAGTGGACGGCATAATGACTATTCACTATTTATTACACGGAAGCGGATCAGCGGGTAGGTCTTCTTCCTTGTTGTCTTCCTGCTGAGTAGGCTCAGGGTGAAGAGGCAGAGGGGTTGGTCTTGCGGTCTCAGCGGTGGCAGAGGTGGGACAGGTGGAGGGGGTGGGAAGGCAGGCAGGAGAGGCAGGTACACTCGGCATAACTTTATGGAAATACATAGTAACTTCTGTTTGACTTCTTTGCTTTTTCATTTCTCTAAAGATGTTTCTGTACGGTACCAATCCCTCTTCCACCACCTGCTTTAGTCTCAGTGCCCGGATTACAGAAGGGTCCATGTTGTAAAAGAAGTCAAACGCCGTCTTGAATAATCGAAACCCTTCTGCCAGGTTGTCTAATGTCAACTTGTTTTCTGGCCCTGCTGCTTCTACATCTTCCTCATCTGGCACTGGTCCGGAAGCTCTCATCTCCACCGAGGTGCCTTCGGTTAACTCCTCTGGTGTGGGGTGTATGAGCTCTTGATGTGGGAACTCATCGGCGGCCTCTTGGTTGGCAGAAGCTGCTTCTCCTGCTATCTTAACATTTCTTAAGCCAAACCTCTTCCTAAAATTATCAAACCATCCTTTGCTGGCATTAAATTCTCCAGCTTTAGTTCCTTCGCCTTCCTTTTGCTTCAAGTTGTCGTACAACGACTTTGCTTTTTCTCGAATCATACTAGAGTCTATAGGGATGCCTTTCTTGTAGCAATCCTGCACCCACATAAAAGCTGCATTTTCAATACGAGATAAAAAAGTATCTCGCAAAAAGTGCAAGGTCTTCGCGCCTGCTGGTGTAGCTGCCACAACGGCTTCGCGGATTTCCTTTTCTTTTTTTACAATGGTCCTCACGCTGGACTCATTTATCTTGAAATGGCGGGCAACCGCAGCTGCAGACTTCAATCTACAGTACATATCGAGCAATTCAACTTTTTCTTGTAACGTCATGACTTTTCTCTGCTTCTTGGAAGCACTTCCAGAATCACTAGTGGCATTTCGTATGGGTCCCATGGTGTTATTCAAGGTTTATGATATTGCACTAAACACGATGAAAAATACGCGAGAACCACGGGATCACTTTTTACTGCCATTTGCAATTTACCAGCGATGAAGTGCTCACGCAGAGATGATTAGCAACACACACCGTGTTAAGCACATACAACACTTGAGCTCACCACAATAGTAACAGGGGGTGGCTATGGAATTATTACAGTAGTACAATACGTACTGTAGTTAATTTTATGCAGTTAGGATTTAATACTGCATCTTCATGTTTGTTTCTGTTTCTCTCGACTATGAATGATGCCGTGTAGAGCTCGACTATGAATGATGCTGTGTAGAGTCTGTAAGTCTCTGTGTGTATTTTGATAAACTTCTTATAACTTGTGTATACTTTATGGTAGTAAATAAAATAAACTAGTATCTACCTGTATTTTAGGCATTCATGACATACCTTTTTATTTTTTCAGTAATTCTAGGCTATGCAGTTCGTCTGCCAGGTTTTTCAAATTGTTGCAAATCTCTGAAAAATCTTCCAATGTATTTATTTTCAACAATCTGCATAGAAGTGGACCCACACAGTTAAAACCCAAATTGTTCAAGGGTCAACTGTATTCCCACTTTACCACTGAGGAAACTAAACACAGAGAAGGTCAGAAATTTGTCCAAAGACACACAGCCAGTGAGTGGGGCAGAGTCTGACTCTCAAACTGGTCCTCTTTCCTTCAGGCAGTTCAAAGAGGTACAAGAAAGGTGGCAGAGCTTTCATCCATTCAAAAAATATCTAGGGACCGCCAACTCTGGGCTGGGCAGTGAATGCATTAGGCTGTGGGAACATTTTCCCCAGCAGGAACCAATGTCCTAAAGGGTAACAAATCCCTGCGATACTTAAAATAACCTCCCTATTTTCTGTCAGGTTAAAGCACCATCTTCCGTGCTGAAGGGGAAGCGCTGTTTTCTGAGCCCAGTTGCGGGGCGGGGAGGCGCCAACCCGCAGCACAAGGGTTTTATCAGGTGCACGGTTGTTCAGTGAAAGATGCTCCGGGCTTGGGGGCCTGATCTGGGTTCCGATCCTGGCTCCTACAGTCACTAGCTGTGGCTCCTTGGGCAAGTTCCTCCACTTCTCTGGGCCTCGGTTTCTTCGCCTTTCACAATGGGGATTCACAACATACCAAATGAGACAGTGGTTTCAAAGCCCTCAATTGCACTTGGTGGACCCGAGGATCTGATGCGCCGGGACGGCGCTCAGTGAATTTCAGTGCGCGCTACTGTCGGCCCACGTGACCCAAGCCCAGGAAGGCGCAGCACAGAAAGCCTTAACCTACGCCGGAGGTCCCCCACCCCCCGCGGATTCTCCGAATCAGAACCCAAGGAATCCGCCTGCCTGCCCAACCTGGACCACGACCCCCAAAGCGCACGACTTCCCGCAGTTGCCGCCAACCGCCCTCTTACCATGGCCCAGCTGCCTGTCGCCGGAAATGAATCCCCTCTGTCCCCGGAACCTCTAACGGCGCCTGCTCGGCAGTAAGAGGACGCCGTGTTGGTGCATTGCATCCTGGGATTTGTGGTTCCGAAAGAATATAGGACGCAAGTCCCAGGTACCGTGGGAGTGGATCCTCCTCCTCCCAGCGTGCCCCGCGGCACGGGGGGCCGAACCCGGAAGTTCTGGGCCGAATTCCTGGTTGCCAACAAGTCCCGTCCAGAGTGGATGGAAACCGGCGACATGGCGGCGTCCGGCCCAGCGCTATGCCTCTTCGACGTGGACGGGACCCTGACGGCCCCGCGACAGGTAGGCGGTGCCCGGCGGGCTGGCGGCAGCGGGTGCAGACCCTCAGGGTGCTCGGAGACATGGGACGGGGCCGAAAAACCCTTGAAAGCGAAAAACGTGTATGGGGTTGGAAAACGCAGTTCTGGACTCTCACCGCATGCCCTGGATTTGAACCTCAGCTCAGCCCCCTTGCCAACTATGTGCCCTCCTCAGTCCTGTCACCTGTGAGCTGTACCTTGTAGCCTAATATGAAAAACATAGGTTTCCAGGTCAAACAGACCTAATAGTCTCAGTTGTACCCTCTTGACAGCTGTCTGACCTTGAGCAAGTCACTTAGCCTCTGAGTCTCAGCATCCACGGCTTTAAATGGGGACCTTCCCAGTTCCATATGGTGTTTGTGAGGGTCGAATGAAATCGAATAAATTCATAAAAGTATCTTGGGTACTGTAGGCTGTGTTCAGTAATAGTCAATAAATATTAGCCGCTGACACCACCCCCTCTCTCAGCCCCCTTCTCCAGCAGGAGTGAGCAAGGAGACCTAGATTTTTTCACACTGCCAGCTGAGAGCCCCCTTGAACTGCAGGAAGCTTGCTTCCCACTTCTAGATTTTGCTAATCCAGGCATGGACATAGGTTTCAGTTAAGATCAACATTTGTGATGAAGTTCATGCTGACCTCCTTGCACGGACTGGTCACTGAACAACAGCCATTCAAACTAGAGACTGGGCCCAAGTGACCTCACTAACTTCACTTTCTATCCCTACCTTCTTAATTTTGGCCGGAGGGTGGCAGTGGTGTGCTCCAGACGTCCACATTAAACGTGTGTGACTTCTGATAACATCATTTTGCCTTTCTGAGCCACAGGTTCAGTGTATCTAGTGATGAAACTCAACTGCAAGTTCTTCAGAGGCCCTTTCTGACTCAGATTCAGTGACCCAACACACACTTCTGGACTGTTAGAGAATCTCTTGGCCATCTAAAGCCAAAGTCAACAACTCATTGTTTGTAAAGAGACAGATAGCAATAATTTATGTCTTTGCCAACCACATGGTCTGTAGTAACTACTCAACTTTAATGCAAAAGCAGTCATAGACCTTATGTAGACACAGCATGGCTGTGTTCCAATAAAACTTTATTTTTTTAAAAAGATTTTGTTTATTTATTTGACAGAGACACAGCAAGAGAAGGAACACAAGCAGGGGGAGTGGGAGAGGGAGAAGCAGGCTTCCCGCGGAGCAGGGAGCCTGATGCGGGGCTCGATCCCAGGACCCTGGGATCATGACCCGAGCCAAAGGCAGATGCTTAACGACTGAGCCACCCAGGTGCCCCCCGGTAACTTTTTTATTTATTACAAAAACAACCAGCTGCTCAATTTGGCCCAGGGGCTGTGATGGTCTAGGGTTCACATTCCAAACCTATTTACATGATATCACTGGACCTTCTCAACCTTTCTCCCTCTTTCATCCCATGCAGGATAATTTCTGTTACCCATTTAAACATAAGGAAACCGAGACTCCATGAAACCATGACCTCGATTTCTCACAGCAAACCTAGTACAAGTCTCGGGTTGCTGGGTGTTGTTATTTGCTAAGTTTGCCATTTTCTGCCACCGCTCTAAGATGGGGGCTGTTCTGGCTGCTGGTTATGCCATTCCAGAAGGTGCTTCTGCCTTCCAGAAAGAATCAGGGCAGATGAGCATGAAGCATGAAATAGCAAAGAAACCCACCATGTATTCCCATAACACATTTGAAACATGACAGTCTTTGTAGCAAACTAATAATTTTAACACTGAAAAAAAAGAAGTTTAACAAAAGAAAGTTGTTTCTGTGTGCCGGGTGTTCCAGGTAAAAAATAAAAATATTTTAGCAAGAGATCTATTCATTATAGAATAATACCTTCCCTCCCTCAATACATGCATTCTCAAACACTGATAAGCATTCATCTAAAACTAATGATGTAATGTATGGGGATTAACATAAGAATAAAAAAAAAACACTGATAAGCATATTACAGTCCAGAAGCAGAAGAATGGGTTATCTTACAGCTGCTGAAACACAATATGACATAAACAGATAAAATCTAATTAGAATGGAGTCCAGAGCTTCGCAGTATCACTATAAACCTGAGTGAATTGTTTTCCGGCTTTATGTCATAAAAAATTCAAACATACAGGGGCACCTGGCTGGCTCAGTCAAAGGAGCATATGACTCTTGATCTCAGGTCTGTAAGTTTGAGCTGCACATTAGGTGTAGATATTACTTTTAAATCTTAAAAAAATAAAATTAAAATTAAAAGGAAATTCAAACATACAGAATCACTGAGAAACTAGTATACAGAACAGCTGCATCCCCACCACTTAAATTCAATGTCGATTGACATTAATGTTCTTTTTTATTCTTCGCTGTACCACTTCCTACGCTGCAGTCATCATGGTACTTTACCCCAAAATATTTGAGCCTGGATCTCTTGAGGACATCTGTGGTGACCATAGTGCCATCATCACCATCACCAATGAAAATTGTCACCAGTTCCCTCCTATTATTTAATGCCCCAGTCTAGCAGTCAGCAAACGTTTTTCTGTAAAAGGCCAGATAGTAAAGAGTTGAGACTGTGCCGGCCAGGTGGTCTCTGTCACAGCTACTCGGCTGTGTCCTTGCGGCCACAGACACCACGCAAATGAATGGATATGGCTGTGTTGCAATCATATTTCACAGACCCGACAGCAGGTCAGTGCCAGCCCACGCACCCTATTCTGCTGACTCTTCTTTACTCCCATCAGTTTTCCTCTGTTGTCCCCAAAAAAGTCTTTTATAGTTGGTTTTTTCAGAAGGTGAATTTTTAACATGCTTTGACCTCAGTTTTAAGCGTTTGGGTCTTTCTCTGTGTTTTATTTTGTCTAGGATGATTTATAAAGAATTCCTTGTGATTGGCAACACAAAAGTTATTTGGGAACATCACAACAACTTTGTGATTATTTTGCTCCAAAGATCTCTCCTGCAGTGGGTAGTTTAGATGCTCTGTTGTGCTCACAAGCAGCTGGGTCTTATTTCCTGTCAAAAAACATTTGCTGCCACTTGGAAGTGAGAAGGTGCCTTCTAATGCACACACATTGCAGACACACCTGATGGCCACAGTACCACAGAGCTCATCAGTGTGCACAGGGGTTAAGATAAAATAAATTGCAGCTTTGGGTTCTGCTTGAAGATGGAAGTATTACATTTTTAATATTTTGCAATCCAGGGAATCTTGCCCACTTCTTGCCATTCTGACGTCAGGAGTCTTCCCCACTTCCTGCCATTCTGACATCATTCTGACATTTGGAGGGCTCCGGGACCCATTTTCACAGGCATTGATTCATAGAGGCCACTGGTGCACTTCTAGATTTTGTCTGCTAGGTCAAGATTGCACTGGAAGGTGTAGAAAAGATTGTGTTCTGTTATAACCCTTCTGTACAATTTTATTAATCCTATGTGTATATTACTCTAAAACAGTTTCTTTAAGAAAAAGAGAAGAATTGAACTCTAGATGTTTTTGTATTGAAGTTTTTGTTTTTAATTTCTGCTAACTTCATTTCTAAAGATAGCCCGTGTGTGGGCCGCCTGGCTGGCTCAGTCAGTGGAGCAGGCAACTCTTGATCTCCGGGTCATGAGTTCAAGCCCCATGTTGGGGGTAGAGTTTACTTAAAAAATAATAAATTAGGGGTGCCTGCATGGCTCAGTCAATTAAGCATCCTACTCTTGGTTTCAGCTCAGGTCATGATCTCAGGGTTGTGAGATCGAGCCCTGCATTAGGCTCTGTGCTGGGCATGGAGCCTGCTTAAGATTCTCTCTCTCAAAAAAAAATTAATTAATTAATTAAAGATACCGCATGTGAATATACAATTCGGATTGGTAAAAGTAACAAATTAACTTCAAAAAATGAATTGTGATTTGTCTTAATATAGGAATATTTTTTCATGTTCATAATTTTTTTTTTT